TTCAAATGGTAATTAGAAGGAATATTTTCAACCATCTTGAAACCTCAAGTCATAAACAAATAAAAGTCCAATCAGAATGACAAAGGAGCACAGAAGCTCTTCAGCCTCGCGTTCCCATGGACCTCCAGGTCCAAGGGCATGCTCTCAGTTCCTCTGAGTTCCCTCTGAACTCACCAAGTCACAAGGTGGAAAGGAAACTGATAAATGTTTTCATTATCGGTGGAAGACAGAGATAACATTATACATATGAAGTACTGTGCTTTTGTTTTAATAAAATTCCATCTGTATTCCAGTTACAAACTAAGGAAGCATATGGGTCCTAAAAACCCAGAACACTTCCCCGCAGGGACAGTGAGGTGAAAACACCAGCCACAGAACACAGTGAGATGCTGTATTGTCCCAAAACTCCCTGGAACAGCAGGGTGAGAAAAAGTATTTTGAACAACTGGGTGAGTAACAGTAAGTAAAGCTGGGACTGGCAGAGCCTTCAAAATATTTTCCTGTGGTACAGTGCAATTCTTCACAAGCGACTCCCTCCCCTACACACTGCCATTAGCACACAAACACTCAGCCATGAAAATCTTGCGGACAAGTAACACTTTGTAGGAGCAGCCACCAGCGGTGGCAACAGTAGAGCACAGAGCACAAGATCTGACATGAGCCTTAAATAAACAATTATTTCAATGCATAAAATTCCCTTCCAATAATCACCTCTTTCCAGAAATGGCTTTTGGGGACCCTGAAAAGAGAAGTTGACTCCTGGGTCTTCTCAGCCAACCTGGGACCCTTCTGCTGCCACAGGGAAACAGAAAGAAGGCTCCTTCTGCCTTGCAAAGTATGAGAAAATCTGGTGAACCTGAGAACCTATCTGGTCCTCAATAAAGCCAAATGTATTCTGGAATTAAACGTTTTGCAGCTACAAGACAGCTTTGTCCAGGCCCATGTATGGCCATCACCAGACTGCAACGGCTTAGCCATAGGCACCAGGAGAGCCTTTGGGCTGCGAGATAGGCTTGAGACAAAGACCTTGAACTATTTTAGTAACATCAGTACAGCTGATTGCCCCACTCTTCAGCTTTGTGTGCATGGGATGCAAAGACAAAAGTGAATCATACAGGTGAAGGTACAGAGCTACACAGATTTGATCGCAAGAGGAAACAAGTAGACAGACGGAGCTGGTCATCTCTGGGTTGTCTTCATCATTGCTTTGTTCCAAGTGGCTGCTCAAGGGATCACAGGAATGTCATGACTGTTCTGTTCTTGCCAATCTGCCAGGGCTCCAGTGGGTAAAAGCGGATGACAATCCTTTTTGGGTGTAAGAGCAAAAATGCAGTGGACAGGAAACATTATTTTACGATTAAATATTATCCCTGCCCAGCTTGCAACAAGGTAGAAAGTCTGCACTAAGCCCTCGCTGGCTCACACTTCACAGTGTTAATTTAACAGAAGCAAAAATAAGCTGTGTACAGGCAGGGTACAAACAGGTGCCAGACTTCATCCACACAAACGGAAAAGCAGACTGAATTTCAACACTGTTTATATGAGATACTTGTCCATTTCAGAAGGACCTAAGCAGCTCATAATCTTGTTGGGCATTTACCCTGACAGCACCCAAGAGGCAGGGAAATGCTATTATTCTTGGGGAGCTGGGGAAGGAGGGCAGAGAGGGACACGGCTTACCTTCAGGAACAGCCTTGTTCCAGCATTTGGCATGGCAACCCCACTGCGAAGCTCTACCAGCTCCCACAGGGGTTTTGCACCAGTTATAGCAAGTGGAACTACCCGTCTTCAGAGAACAGCATTTCCGTGACTGTTCAACAAGTGCAAACCAGTCCATGGTTTTATCTGGACCTAAACTGCATGGCTGGGATTCGGCACCCAAGAGCACCTAATGTTGGCAATCTCGTCTCGGATCTGTATTACACCTTAACCTCCTGGGGGAAACCTACATCATCTTCCTCCTCCTCCCTTTGAAATCGTCCTGTCCTTTTGTTGGCTGTCTCCCACACTCGGGGGCCGCAGCAGGCCGGCCGAAGAGCCGCTCCCCCCGCGGGAACGCCCCAGGCCGCGGCCCGCACTCACCGCTCGGGCCCGAGCCCCAGCTGCGCCGTCAGGACGTCGAAGAAGCGCGCGCTGTGCCGCCGGTTCTGCTCCGCCGAGCCCACCACGCCGATGGAGGAGACGAGCAGCTGTGCGCAAGGCTCGTCCGAGCCCGCCAGCACCATGGGCAGCCCGCTCCGCACCGTCACGGTCACCCGCTGCCAGCACAGGCACCGTCAGTCCCCGCCGCTCCCGCCGCCCCCGGCCCCGCCGCCCCCGGCCCCGCGCTCACCTCCGCCGGCTTGCCCAAGATGTCGGCGGCGGCGGCGCACAGCTCCTGGGCCAGCCCCGGCGGCAGCCGCGCGGCCGGCAGGCTGGTCTCCAGCTCCACGAACGGCATGGTGCCCGGGCCCAGCGCACCGCAGCCCCGCGCCGCCTCCGCCCGCCCGGCCCGGCCCGGCCCGGCCCCCGCTCCGCCCCCGGCCCGGCCTGGGCAGCGCCGGCGGGGCGGCACCCGGGGCCGTGCAGCGTGGCCTCAGCCCTGGGGTCGGCCTGCAGCACCGCCATCACGGGATCGGAGACTCATAGACTGGTTTGGGTTGGAAGGGACCTTAAAGAGCACCTAGTTTCACCCCCCCTACCACGGGCAGGGCCCCCTTCCCCCAGCCCAGGGGGCTCCCAGCCCCGTCCAACCTGGCCTGGAACCCTTCCAGGGAGGGGGCAGCCACAGCTGCTCTGGGCACCCTGGGCCAGCGCCTCACCCCCCGCACAGGGAAGAATTTCTGCTCTTTGAGTGTGACCATCCAGACAATTCCTTATCCGCTGAGTGGTCCATCCATCAAATCCATGTCTCTACAATTTACAGACAAGAATGTCGTGCAGGACAGTGTCAAATGTTTTGCATAAGTCCAGGTAGATGACATCAGTTGCTCTTTCCTTATCTGCCAGTGCCATAATGTCGTCGTAGACAGTCACCAAATTTGTCAGGCACAATTTGCCCTTAGTGAAGCCATGCTGGCTGTCACCGATCACCTCCTTACTTTCCACGTGCCCTAGCATAGTTTCCAGGAAGATCTGCTCCATGATCTCACGGGGCACAGAGGCGAGACTGACTGGCCTGTAGTTCCCCAGGTCTTCTCTATTTCCCTTTTTTTAAAATGGGGGTTGCGTTTCCCCTTTTCCAGTCAGTGTGAACTTCTCCAGACTGCCATGACTTCTCGGAGATGATGGATAGTGGCTCAGTCGCTTCAGCTGACAGTTCCCTCAGGACCCAGGGATGCATCTCATCAGGTCCCATGGACTTGTGCACATCCAGATTCCTTAGATGGTCTTGAACCTGATCTTCTCCTACAGTGGGTGGTTCTTCCTTCTCCCAGTCCTCACCTTTACCTTCTGTGTCTTGGGTGGTGTGGCTGGAGCTGTTGCCAGTGAAGACTGAGGGAAAAAAGACGTTCAGTACCTCAGCCTTCTCCATATTCCGGGTGACCAAGTCTCCCTTTTCCTTCCAGAGAGGGCCCGCATTTTCCCTAGTCTTCCTTTTATCACTGACATACCTCTAAAGGCTTTTCTTGTTGCCCTTGACATCCCTGGCTAGAATAATTCAGTCGGGGCTTTGGCCTTCCTAACCTGATCCCTGGCTACCTTGACAGTGTCTCTGTATTCTTCCCAGGCTACCTGTCTTTGCTTCCATGCTCTGTGGGCTTCCTTTTTATGATGATGAGCATCTTGCCCTCCCTCTTACTCAGGCAGGGCTTTGGGTTTTCTCTGTTTCACCCCAATGCTGGCTTTCAGTCCTTTTGCTTCTTACAATGTGCATTACTGGGACAGGTATTAGAGACTGTGAGAACAGAACATCACATCTCACTGTCAGAAGGGTAAGATGAGCTTTGTGATGGTCCTTACTGCTGGTGGGAAGGAATTTCTGGTCACTGCAATGGACACCTCTGTGCCTGTCTGTGCAGGTAGGGTTTAGAAAGGAAGTGAAGTAATTTCTCAAAACAACCAGCTCTACAAGAAATTAAAAGGGAAGCAGACATTTATAATTTTATCCAATATATATAATTACCAAACTAGCTTCTGCAATCAGGACTTTGGCTCCAAAGTTGATAAAAGCGACCCCAGCAGGCTGGCTCATCCTGACTGTCTAATCTACAGATCAGAGTTGTTTAATCTAGAGATCAAAAGATTCTCAGAAACTGGGCTACTGTCCAGGGATTATTACATGAGCTCATTTACAGCAAAAGGTTATGAACATTAGATTAATAGGTCGTTTAAGGCATAGCACTGTTGTGAAAATTGGCCCTGTATAATGTGACTACTTGTTTTCCTACAGTTCTAGACAACCCTAATGAAAACAGATAGAATTGCTCATTTTTTTTCTGGGGAAATTGTTTGGCCTTCACTGCTGCTCATGAAGACAATACTGGCACAAGGAGCACTGTGTATAAACCAACCAGCAATAAGGCTGGAAAAAGATTTCTAGGAGAGACAGTGTGAAGAGCAAGACCTAACTGGAGATGGGACAGGCATAGCAGGCTGGCAAGTGGTGACTGCTTGCATCGGTAAGTGGTAATACAGATCCTCCCTTCAAATCCAGGAAAGCAGCAGCAGAAGTAACCCAGGAAAACTGCTAAATTCCAGGGTAAATTTACAGAAAGATATAATCTTGTAAATAGGATATGACCCCGAGTTTATCACCAAAATGAAGGCAGTGGGGTTATTCAGCCACCTCGTGAACCCCGGGTGCAAGCCCACTGCTGCCTGATTGTTGGGAGGCATTGCCTCCAGGTAGGATGCCATTTAGGATCCATTTTTCTATTTTTCTCCAATTCCTTCAAATACTAAAAATCTCTTCCAATTCCAAGGCCAAAGAACCCCACATGACAAGAAATCAGACTATCAGGTGGCCTCCAAAAGCAAAAAAGATTCAAGTATCAGATGTCAGCAATTACAACAGGGCATGGGGCTGTCACAAACATCTTTAATGATGTGTTGTCCATCACTCTTGATGGTTCACCATGTGAATGGCAGATTGCTCACAGCCTCACAGAGTTTTTAACCAGAGGTTTTTTAATCAAAGGCATTCAGTTCATTGCTTCTGTCTTGGAGCAGGCAACTAAAGTGCTTGCAGGGGGATGGACATACAACCAGGAGAGGACAGCACAGCAACAAGTACTCTCAAACATGCTCAGCCTTTGGAAAATAATGGTAGTTTTTTTCCCTCCTGCAGACATTTACACGTCATCATCCACTTAGCAATTCCACTTTCAAAATTATCAAAAAAATCAACCACTTCCCATTTAAAATTTAACTCAGTTGTAGACAGCATTTTGTGAATAAAACATAATTACTATTATCATACTATTCAGCTACTGTTTGGGAAGAAAGCAAGGGTGGGAATAAATGTGTGCCTGTTTCTAATATTTTTGGTTCATGAAAAGAGAGGGCCTTCAGTCAGGTCTCGTCTTTATATAGAACATAATCACATAACAAAATTTCCTACTAATGCAAGCTGAAGTATACAATGGAAATCTCTTTCCAGATAGGGAATTTAAAGATCTCCCTAGGCTCTGGACTAAATCAGTAGTATCTAGAACTGAAACCTTACTGAAAAACATCACCAGAACACATCAGGTTTTATAGAACTTACCAGCAGAAACATCACCAGCCAAGACATGGTAGTACTGGAAAGAAATTAAGCTATCTGATTAGCAAGAGAAGCAATTCCTGTATTATTTACTCATTTTGTCTGATTCCTCACAGGATGTGTTCCTGGGCAAGGATTTCAGCGTAAGGTTCAAGGGCAACAACTACTTATGAGTAAAAATATGAAGATATATATATTCCACCAGTTTCTTTATCCTTTACAATTTGCTATTTTCAACTGTAGAAACTAGAAATGGTTGGATTCTCTCAGTTTTACCTCATAAACTGTTCTGCATTACAGAAAGGCTTTGTACCTGAGCTACTGCTAACTAGAAATAAATACGGCCAAGAAAAAGAGCCCAAAAGCTCCAGAACAACTCTCTGCCCTTTTATCGTGATGCATGTGTTGCTCAATGCCACAACATCTCTCTTATTACTTCAGCTCCACAGGGTGACTTACTTGGTAAACATCCATCCAAAACAGTCTCCTAAGAGCATGACTGTATTTATTCCTCCTCTGCGTTTTCTAGGAGAAAAGTAGATTGCTATTACAGTATTGCTGCAGAAAACAAAAATTTAGTTGCTGTTGTATTTCAAGAAATCAATGTGAATGCAGTCTTTCAGTGTATTCCCTATATAACATCAGAGTACTTTAGGTAGGCAGTTATTTGAAGGCTGTGGCCACCCTCAGCATTTTGAAGTTGCTTGGGTCTTTACCTCCAAGAACTGCCTCTGCCACATGTACTGGCAGATTGAGCACCAACAAAGCCCAGGCTGCTTTCAAAAATTCAGAGTAATGGTTAAACTGAAGAATTACAAAGATTCACGGCTGTAGATGAAGAAACTTCTCACAGGAACCTATAGGCAAATAGAAGAATTGAGGAATGTACATGGAGAGATAAGCAAAATGCCTCAGCAATAAGAAACTTTAAAATTAAAAAAAAAAAAAACAATGTATTTTTTCACTTTTGTGACTGCCTGTAGTTTTGTGCTGTACTTGTCTGTGCAGACACGTGCTGGGAAGGTGAGGATCAGGCATACTTTCCAGTGCTTACCACTTGAGGAGCTTCACATGTTAAAAACACATGAAAACAACACTCATCCTATACAGTTCTCTAATGTTTCCAAGTTTGCAGGCTGGCTCAAATTTTCTCAGAAAATACCATTTGTATCTCTGAAAAGGCTGATGCTGAAATAAAACCCACATTCACGTGTTAAGTGACTTGTAGGGCCTTGTCTTTTGTATAAATTTAATGTTTCAGGTCTTAAACTTTCCCCATCTTCTACCCACGAAGATACAGGAAAGGCCTGTCAGGGGCTGAAACACTCTGCAATTTCTGTTAGAATTACAGTGCTTTTTCCAGTTACATGTAGAATTGAAGGTCAGAGAGGTTTTGGTTTGTTTTTTTTTTTAAAAAAAAAAAAGGACGGCAAAAATGGTAAGATAGGTTAATTCATTTCAACATCTTCATCAACACAGGTGCCAGATGCTCTTTCAGCTGTGGATCAATTTGAATGTTGCTCAGTTCTTTGATATTGAGGATCATCTCATGGGCTTGGAAGAAAAGCTCTTTCCCCACAGCATCCTCCACCCGCCTGCGCCACTCCATCAGCCTAGGTCTGTCTTCAAAGATGTCACAACCAACTCCAACAGGCTGCAGAAAGGGAGAGAGAGCAACAGTGAAGCATTGGGCAGTCACTTCTTCACCAAGACAACAGGCACCAAAAGTGTACCTGCAGGTACAGGTAGAGGAAAAAAAATTAAGAGCTCATAGAGGAGCACTAGGAAGGAGGGAAATCTCTGATTGCGTATATCTATGTGGGGGACACAGAAGCTAGCCTGTATTTTAACGAACATTTACAAGTCAACTCCTGAGTGCTGGAACAGCTGTTAAGAGCAGTGGAGATGACTACCACTTGTTGTGAATGATTTTCACTTACAACACTGAAGATGTGGTGGGCTGACAGTTCCAGGAACAACTGCAGAGTCTGCACTATGGAATGCTGTATTATACAGCAAAACCACAGCACAAATCACTAAACGTTTAATTGAACTGATGTCTTAGTTGACATAATCTACCTCCCTTCTACTCTCTGCCTGTGCCACTCTCTGGAACACAATGCTGTAGAGGAGCAGAACTGCTATTTTTCAGCATCTGGGTATTTTTCAGCATCTGGGATACAGAACTGTGAGAAAAGAATCACTTCTGGGCTGCAGGAACCAGGCCCTGACAGTCTGGCAGAGAAAACCCAGTTTGGAACAGACTTAATTTGATCGCCTCTGTCTGAGATTCAGTCTTGCATCTTCCAGACATGGCATGGGCAAGTAGCATCTCAAGAAGAATATTCTTGTATGACAAAAACATTCCTAAAGAATTTTCTTATTTCATCAGACCTGTCTGTTATTGCTTCTCACTTTTACGTATTACCTCCTTCTCCAAAGGTTAAAAATAAAGTCACAATAAAGGATGAGGGAGAAAAAGAAGTATTGTTAGAGAAGAGAAACCGAAGAGGTTTGTTACAGCCAGCTTTAATTTTTTAACTGGTTTTCTGAACCCACTCCCATATTCTCTTCATTGTCCTAGGCCAGTTCTGTTGAGATATGCCCTCACTCCTCTTTCTAGTGAAGTATTACCAGATGCTGCACTCCTCCCTGCCCAGCAGCATCTGTTTTCCCTTGTGTGGAGACTTCCTTACCACACGCCAGCACTCACTTGCATCAGCTCCACAATGGCCACAAGATCTGCCAGAGAGATCTCGCTCCCAATGATAAAAGCCTTGTCCTGCAGAAATCTCTCCTCAAATTGCTTCAGGGAAGTGGACAGCCCCTCCATAACCTCCTGGAGCTTCTCGGAGGGCAGTGGCTGCCCTGTAAAGAGGGGAATCAGCACCTGAGGAGAGAAGGGACTTAGAATACAGTTGGCCATCTTCTTATGGATCTGGTGGTAGTCATTTAAGTTACACCCCATGAATTGCTCATGATTCTCGGTGATTCTGCAGCAAAACCGCAGGAGGGGACGATGCTAGAGCTTCAAGGACTGCTGCAGTTCCAAGCAGCTCATGGACAGAGAGCACACAAACAGTTCTAAGTGGCTGATCAGTGACAGTAACCTCCAGCTAATGGGCAGCAATGCACAGAACGAAATCAAGGATTCCAGCTCATTTGGTGCCTGGCACTTGTGTCCTCCAACTCCACCTTGATGGGTTACAAAAGAAAAACAGGCAACAGCTCTAGGGAAGACAAATCCCTGCATTAGTCACCCCTGCTATGCTCTCTGTTTCCACAGCCTGCCAAGACAGGTCAGCAGGCTGCCTGCCCTGCAGGGTGATGGAAGGGAGGGCATGCTGGTGGCTGTGGCAGGAGTGTAGGAGGGACTGGAATGCATCAACACTGACTGGAGAGGCAGGGAATGGCTGCCTCTGTATGACAGCAGCCAGCAAATCTGGGAGTGGGTAAGCACCATATTTATACCAGCCTTTCTGTGGCCTCCCAAGCGTCATTCTTTAAACCACTAGAAATTTTTCCAGTGCAGTCCTTGTCTCCACAGACTTGCTGGCACAGAGGGTAATTGCCCTTCTGTGAGATTTTTCACCACTTGCTGAGGTGTATGCACTGTTGGAGCCCACAGTGTTTCACAACTATGCTGCCTCCATCTACCACAGCTAAAGAAATACAGTTTATTTAGAGAAGCAAAATTAAAGATACAAATTTCCATTGGTGGGAGTAGACTGAATTTCTACTTACTGCTAGTATATTCAACAATTCAAGTTGGGATTGCTCAATCCAAGCCATGATTTTTGCCAAATACATGTGGAATCTATTTCATCACAAAATTCATGGCCAGTTCTCTTCCTAAGTGGTGCCAATTACGCACGACAGGATCTCTGGGTATAATCACTTGAAACAGCATCTTCTTCCTTTTCTGTATCTCTGGGCAGTCTGCATTCTCCATGCCTTCTGTTACATGGTGGCTTTACACATTTCCCTGTTTTCAAATACTGTGAGGCCTTTTTCTTTATCTGGGTTATCTAATCATCATCAACAATTAGTTGGATTTCTTTCCCTTGGAGCACTGCAATAACAGCCTGCAGAGACTGGAAGAAACTTCTTCTTGTATGAATCTGACTCATATTTGAATTGCTTCGCTGTGCTCTCCAGCCAGAAATTCAAATGTCAATAAATCAAAAAGCTAAATGAGTACTGATATGCTTTGTCAGGCACAAACAAACTCAAACTTTACATAGGAAGGGTGAAGTTCGTACCTGTTTACTGGCAACCCTGATTTCATCTGAAATTCCAAACCACAGCTGTACTTGTGGGGCTATATTTGCACCCGGGTCTCTCCAATGACAATTGCATTAACTGTCTGGTGAGTTGGCTGGAAACAGGTGTCCAGCAAAGCTGTCTGATACTAAATGATTTTCTGCCTCAGGGTGATTCTGTTAATTTTACCTAAAATTACCTGGCTACACTGAATAAAGAAATTCTGCCATTCTCTCAGTGTCTCTATTCTGTCTATCCCTGAGCCCATTTCAGAGAAGTACCAAAGTGTGCTGGAAGCAGAAGGCTCCTTCAGGATTTCCACCCTGATGGGGCTGCAGGGACTTGTTGCATGAAGAATGCAAGCCCTTCTGCTTCCAGCAACAAAGCACATGCTCACCAAAGAAGCAGAACTTCTGCCTATGTGCACACTCTGCACAGCTGTGCAGTGAGGGGGAGGCCCCTGGAGGCAGTATCCAATCTGTTATATATTAGTTCACAAATCCAAGCCATAGAAGTCTGTTGGGCTTTGAGACCTTCTGTACCAGACCTGCTTTAAGGAAAACAACAAAATGACCAAAGCTGCTTTTGCCAGATTCTGACACGGAGCAATTAGGAACAGCTCCCTCTCTGACAGCTAGGAATGGCCTAGGTTTGTTATTTCAGCATGTCAAATTCTCTCCGAATTGGGGCTGTTCAAATGCTCGGTATTCTGTCAGGAAAACATCACTTTACTCACATTTTAATCTTCAGTCTCCTTACCTTGATCCACATGGTCTTAGGAGCATTAGCCCGGATGTTAGCATGATGCCACGAGAGGTATTCATCTACCTGGGCCCGTTTTTGTATGTCTGATGGGTACCAGTGGTCAGGAGTGTTGTACTTTCGACTCAGATACAGCAGAATGGCAGTGCTGCTCAGACATTAACAAGCGACAAGAAAGGGGTCGGGGAGTTATGATGCAGAATACTTTTGCCTAAGCTCCCTCTCCTGCCCTTTCTGAACTTGCTGCTTACACTAAAAAGCATTCAGGTCAGGATTTCCAATAGCATCTAAGGTCCATACACAGGCATGTAATTCATGTTGACATCAAAGAGGGCACTTATCATCTTAGTTCCCATGAAAACTTTAACCTGCTGGAAAATCACAGCACTGTTCTGTGGTGCAGAGTACTGCTGGACAGTACTGGGGTAAACAAACAATTAACTTCTATAATCACCTATCAGCAGTGTTAACCCCACTTGTTCCTTGACTGTTCTGACCCATCTCTCTGAGACCCGTGCATGTTTACAGGCATGTGTATGAAATGAAACTCTCTCATGGGTTATGTTGTCTTTTCAACAGATCTGTCTCTAGCCTGCAGCTTCCACTCGAGCCAGTGGAAGTCCCAGCAGGGAGAGCCTACAGAATCTTTCTGTGTTTGTCCAGATGTTTATACTTTCATTAACTGGCAAGAGAAGTCGGATGGAAAAATATCTTAGTCATCTGCAACAATATGTAGGCCGTTACTACAAAAAGAGATGCCACAGAAAATCCTGTGCTGACAAAGCAGAAGAAAATGTAGACCCTCCTATTATGCTGATACTACTATAGTTCGATTATTTCAGTATTATGACACCATTAACCAGCCTCCATATTAATTTTATCATGTAAAACCCAGATTTTACCTCCATAGATGTTCACTTGGCCTTTATGACTAATTCAGATAAACGGAATTTTTTCCTGAGGTAAACAGGATTGTTTTTCCTACAGTAAAAGGGCTTTTAATAAGCTTTAAACATTTCCCATGAATGTTTATAATCCCATTTTGAGGTAAGTGAGTTCGGGGTAAGATCAAAAAGTTAAGTCAGCTGATTTGTTTACATTCTGAAAGATAATTCAAACAGAAAATGGAAACAGAGCAAATGAGGTTATACTATTAAAAATGAACAATACATTCATGAATTCTGTGATCCTTAATCATTCAGCCGGAATGACATCTCCTAAATGCTGGAGAGATTACTGGTACCCAAGGAAGTCGAAGGACTGAGTTCTTACCACTCTGCCAGGGTGAAGTCTCCGTCCTTTAATGCTGGTACTTTCTTCAAGAGGCTGACTTTGCCAGCTCCTTCACTATTTGATGACCCTAAGAATATGAACAAACAAGCCAGAGGTTAGAAGTGTATCTGCCAGTGAATGATAAATTAAATACCTGAAGCCAACTGGACAATCAGTGAACTGTGTTAAGTTTTCCCTATATGAGCATATTTCACAATTAAAAAGGTAATGAAAGTGAAGTGTCAGTGTAAAACTATCTGCAGAGGGCAGTTGGCTCAGGCTGGGCACGTGGCACGGAGCAGTTCACACTTCTCTACAGGAATTCTGTTGCTTGACTTGGGTACCAGTAATACTTGCAAAACGTACTGAAAAAAAACATTCCCTGAGAGGCATTCAGATACCACAATGAAGGTACTGGTACTGAAAACACTATTGCAGATAACCAGGAACAGCTGACCTGAGAACAGCATGTCCTGTGGCTTTAGAGACAAGGGGGGGGAAAGACACAGAATGAAAACAACTAAGCACCTAAAAAGTACTTAATATTTGCTAAGAAAGCAGAGTCTGGAAAAGCTGAGTTTGCATGCAGAGCACCCTAACGAGGGCAGACAGTTGCTACTCCGGCTCCTGTTCCCACAGGCAACACCAAAACAAAGTCATTTTCTTGCAGTTTGTAAACGTGGCTGACTAGGTAGGATGGAGTCATGATGGAAAGTAACTGAAAAGCCCGTGCCCAGAGATCACTGCAGTGGCTAATTAATCAAACTGAACCCAGCTGGCTTGTACACATACAGAGCAAATTCTTCTTCCTGTTTATCTCTGAAGAGTAGAAGGAACTGAGCATTTACAAAGAAAGTAAATGCTGTCAACAGAGCAGATCCCTCCACAGACATGCAGCTGAGGATGTTTCCAGAGGTTTTGCTGGGATGGGAAAAACATGAATGTCAGCAATACAACAGTAGGCTCATGAAATAATTCACTCTGCCACACTGGACATCTGCCATGGGGAGGGAAGCTCAAATACTTCTACCCTGCTTTACTCTTGGCTCTGTGTTACTCCTGGCTCTGCATGTCAACCTACCTCTGTCAGGAAAATGCAGGAGGAAGACACCATCCCATGAGAGTTTAAATTCCACAGTTCCGTGGAGTTTGGAGGCATTAACAGCTGACTATCTAATCAGGTTTTCAGTTTCCCACTGCAGGCACTAGACTTGCCAGTCAGCAGTTAACTGCCAGGGAATTGTACAAAAGTCCAGGAACACCTATGTAAGAAAAGGTGTGAGGAGTTTGCTTGCTTTGCTTGTTTTAAGATCTCTCTAGAAGGAGACATGACATTTAGGTGCAAATCTTGATCAAATCAGCATGACCAGCAAGAGGCCTTGTACACAAATCCCTTCATTCAAAAAAATAAGGGCCGTTAACTATCAAACAGTAACCTACAGCCCCAAGAACTATTTGTCCCCATTCAGGAGGCAGTGGCAATGCCTGCTTTACTGGACAAATGTGCAGCAGGAAATCGCTTCCAAGAAATAAAACCAGCCTTTGGACTATCAAGTTTATTTGTAGCAGGCTTTGGGAAGGAGTGGGAGAAAGGAAGATTGCAGCATTGCTAATTACAGAGTACTTTCCCAGTATTGATTTCAGATAATGAGACAAATCAAGCAGAGCAAACATTACTGCCTTGTTCTCCTTTCTAGCTGACTAGCTTCTACCTTGTTTCTTCTTTGAGAAGTGCTTCTTAAAATAACGACGTAAGTAGCTTCATCAGAGTCTAAGGTTCACATCCAACTGCTGTCTGAATAGATTCAAAGACCTGTCTTCCATCTCACTGGGAAATATCTCGGGGTACCTGTGGTGATGGTGGCCTCCAGCTTAGCTGGGTAAGAGGTTTCACGTGTACAGCAGAACCAGGCAGCATTATCAGGAGAGGTAGGAAGAAAGAGCTTCTTAAGAATAAAAGCCAGACAGAAAGTGCGAATTAAACCTAATAACTGAGAAACTTGAGTATAAAACAAAAAAAAAATCCCCAAATATCAAGCCAGCAAAGTACAAGGACAAAGTGCCATAAATCCGTGATTTATATTGTAAAAATAGTGAGGCAAATTTGTGTAAAACTACTGTCATGCAAAGAGTTGCTCTGAGAAGATGTTTGGTCCTCTTCTTTTAGAAGGGCTCCAAAGGCCAGTGGTCATCACACACCCAGCCCTGATGAGATCTGTAGAGTTTGGGTGGCCCTTGGAAAAATGCAGCAAAAAGTTGCAAGTCAGTAATTCTTACAACTCAGACCCAGCTGTCTGTGTTTATTATTCAAGGTAGTGGGCAACTGAGAAACAACAATGTGAGTAGTAAGCAGTGGGTAAATGCAGTTGAATTTGCTCCAAGTTGCTTCATCGAGACCTACTGCTTATTATATTAAAATAGAGACCAATATTTGCATTGGCCGTTTAGCAAAGTTTAAGCTTGTGCCTCTCTTCTAGAAAGTACAACCAGCCTTTTTGTTTAGTAGTATTAGGTGGACCATCTTTATCATTCCTGTGGTGTTGACTTGACTTACGGTGCTGTTTAACATCAGCTGCATCTGGTGTAACTAGTTCTTGATGTCCCCTGAGGACATATATACACACACTGTGTGTATTGCTGGGCTTTGAGGAGTAACTTTAATAAGCAGATTATACACTGTCAAAAACCAGGGCAGGCTGCACACAGGAGGAATTCTTAAATGTAAGTCACAGTGCACGGAGGGAGACTTACTCGTGGGTAAAAAGAGCAACGGACAAGATTTTACAGAAGGAGAAAGGAAAAAAAAGAAAAAAAAAAAATCACTCTATTTGCCAATCACATCCTCGCCTAATCATATCCTCAGCCAAGGATTTCTAAGCACTGTGCTTTGCCTGAGGCAAAAAACTAAGAATTTACACGGAAAATGCAATATGTAAATGGACAATAGTCATTTTACACAGTTGGACAAGCCCGAACAGCTGAGTGTTTCTGCTAAGTACACCATTCCCAGAGCACTCCTCTGCTGTCACTGTGACTAATTTGCTAGAAATGGCTGGAGGAACATTCCTTGGGGATCCACAAAAATAGACGCAGCACAGCTATGAGACTGCTGTGGGAATAAGAGCTGCGTGGTCAAACCACTGTACTCAGGCCCCTCGGCAGAGCATGTATTTAAAATCACTCAGGTTACCCGAGGAACTAGTCCTTCCCTCCCAACGGGCCAAGCAGAGCTTCCAGGGGCCGGGAGCAGATTCAGCTCTGGTGTGCAAGTCTGGCCAGGCTCGACCTGTTTCACCCTCCCCAAGCAGGACCGGACCCTCTCTTGAGAGGCCCCCGGGGTGAGAGCGCAGGTAAGCCTCCTCTCAGCTCTGCATCCCTCTCATACATGGGTGATCTCCCGCTTCCACCACCTCCAGCATTTTTCCACCTCCCAGGGTTGAAGCGTGTCCCCCTCCAGCTGAGCCTGAGCCTCCCCAAACGTGAGAGGACCCTGCATCGCTACTGATCCGGGACGGACCGAACTGAACTTCCCTATGGGAACAGTGCACACCGGTTCAATAGCTCCCCAATTTCCAGAGAAGCAGCAGCACAGGGCAAGAGAGTGAAAGGAGGCGGCGGGATGCCGCTGACAGAGCCGAGCCGGAGGGGCGACGGCCGGGCAGAAGGAGGGCCGGGCTCCCTTCTCGGGGAATGCGAGCAAACCCCGCCGCGGGCTGCCGCCCTCCGGGACCGGAGCGATCGGCCCTTCTGCCCGAAGGCCGCGGCTGGGGCCCTGCCAGCGCCCGGGGGCTCAGCCCGGGGATCCTCGCCTGTCCCCTTCCTGCTCGCGGGGCCGCCGCCAGGCACCCAGCGCCGCCGGGGAACGGGCCCGGCCCGACAGGACGGACGCCCGGGGGTTGTGGGGGTGGTGGTGGGGGACCCCCCCCCGCCCCTCCGCTCACCTGCGCGGGGCTGCTCCGCGCCGCTGCCCGCCGCCGGCTTCTTCCCCAGCACCGAGTCTGCCAAGAGCCAAGAGAGGGGCGCTGAGCCCACCGCCCCCGGCGGGCCGCCGCCCGCCCCGGCCCCGCCGCCCGCCGCCCGCCACCGCCCCGGGGCAGCTCAGCAGCGGCGGGCGGGCGGGCGGGCGGCCGTGCCCGTCCCACCTTTGAAGAGCTCCACGTGCTTGAACTCGAAGGGGATGTTGTTGCTCCGGGCGAAGATGTAGATGGAGCGGCAGGGCTGCGACAGCAGGTCCAGGTACAGCTCCAGCCCCATCTTGCCACCGGCCCAGCCCCGGCCTCGCCCGGCCCGCGGGGAGGCTGCCTCCACTGTGTCGCCGGCCGCCCGGAGCCGCCCCGCACGGGCAGGCGGGGGCCGAGCCCAGCGCGGGCGGGAGGCGCCCGCCCCCGAGCTGCGCCGGGCGGGGGACGCGCCCTCGGCGGGCGCCGGGGCTGAGGGGGCGGGGGAGGCGGCGGCGGGGCTGAGGGGAAGGTGGCGGGGCTGAGGGGGAGATGGCGGGCGGCAGCGCTGAGGGGAGCCTCGGCCTCCCCTGGTGCGCGGGGCAGGCGGGAGCTGTGGGGGGAGCGGGGTCTGCGCCCCTGGGCAAAAGTCTCCTGCGGGGCGAGGACGGGAAAATGCTGGAGGAGCCCCGGAGAGCCTTCCCGGCAGGGGCAGTGAGGCATAGCTGGAGTATGGGGGGACACAGGGTTCCACATCCCACAGCCCTGGCCACGCCGGGGCTGGCGCTGTGCCTGTAGGCCAGCCTCAGGAAAAGAAGGTAACATACAGGTAATGGTAATTTATGAGTAACGGTAAATTACCAACCTCAAAAGAGAGGTTGGTACTAAGCACTGAGGGAGCAGGGGCTGTCGTTCCTCTCTGCAGCCTTGGCCACAGGGGCTCAGGAGCCCGCTATCACCCACAGCATCCCAGCACACCTCTTGCAAGGTAAATGCTTGTTTTCATAACATGCTCCTGCAGGAATGTGCCATGCTGCAAACAAAAAAAGGACCCTTGCACATTGTCCTCTAAGCCAGCGTTAATCTCACACTACTAGATCTCAGTATGGTTTTCAGTTCAGAAAGTATTTCTTGGGTCACGTCATCTCTGCCCAACTCTGCAAGGTGATGCCTGAATGGCAGTGAAGTGTGGAAGACTTCTCTGTGGGCATTGCCTCTGCATACTCACAGTGAAGTGACTTTCCTCTCTCCCTGGAATTGTCATTTCAGATTTCCGCGCAAGCAGAGGAGAACTGAAGAAGCTCAGACTGAATTCAAGCCCTTGCACGGGGCCCATAGCATTCTACAGCTGCGTGATTTGGGGAAGGTGACATGCTGGTTGAGTTACAGGGACTTCTGGGACTCTGGAAGATAGAGCAGCTGAGCCACTCAGAGCAAAGTCACCCCCAGTCAAACCCACCCCAGCTCAGCTGACACCTTTTTATCAGTGCTGTGCTAGAGAGCTTGTATGTCACACACAAATGATTGGAAAGAGCCACAGGAACACTGGGGAGAGGGAGCTGGAGGATCAGTTGCTCTTGTGTAAGGGATCATTACAAAGTGTGATGAAAAGACTTGGATACTGAGCTGGGACCTCACTGACTGGATAAATTACAAACTGGAACACTTTCAGGTGCTTCCCTTGATAGCACTTTGCCAAGACTTCAGCTCTGGGAACTCCTTAGGAACAGGTCTTTCTGTTAGTCCGTTCAGTCTGCCAGAGTCTGGTGAACAAGCTGCATCTCGAAGTATCGAGTCCACTTCACCACACACCTGTTTTCAGAGTAATTGTTCAAGTTTAGAATTGCACAATGAGAGTTTTTCAGTTTCTTGGCCAGAGTAGGGAGAGGGGCTGTGTACACCCTTCAGTTCCCCTGCAGTACAGTTTACCCTCTAGAGCACCTGCATGCAGCACCAACACGCCAGAGATGAAGGCTCATAGGATATTGTGGCAGGTACTTGAGTTCATGTCAACCTCCTTCAGCACAAATAAATCTTAAATGTTAAGGGAGCAGGGAAAAGGAATGTGAATGTGGCTCTGCAGGAGAAGTCTTTATGCTTCAAAATGGTTGCATATCCCTACTCTGAAGATATCACTGGGAGAAGTTTGTTGATCTCAGTGGCAGGTAACAAGATTAGCATTGTGGGTTCACTTTGCTCCTTTACTGTTCAATTGATCTATTAGTCCTATCTGGACTTCAAAGATCTTTTCATGTGCTTCCTGGAAATATTCCTTCCAATGTTTTCCTCCAATTTGCTGACTTCACTGCACAGCCCACACAACCAAAGAGGTATTTTTATCTGGTTGTGTTATATGACATTTGATTGCATTATTCTTGGCTTTAGGATAGTGCTTCTAACACTGTGTTTTTATTTGGCTCCATCACCTCAAAGGCCATTTTTCTTCCCTGTACTTTCTCTATCAGCTTTTTGGAAACAGGAACAACACAGAAGAAATGCAGGAGGTTTTTGAGTTTATTTCTTAATTGTTTAGAAAAGGACTTAGGATGTATATGTTTTTTCAACATTCCTCCCCCATTTTTGTGTGTCCCAGCTTAATTTTATTCTAGAAATCACAGGCTCTTACTTCTTCCCAGATAGCCACTGGCAAGAATTGAGGAAATTGAATCAGAACAGCACACTGAACTGTGACTGGAGGTATAACCCCTCTCCCTATTCACGTGAAAGGGGAGTGGTCACTGAACAGACCTTGCACTGAGGCAGGCAAAACTCTTGCACAACCTATTGGGTTTTGGCAGGCAGCTCTTGGGGCTTTCAGTCTAGGAGCCAGAACCCGCCAAGATCAAATGACATGGGTGAAGAAAATAGGGCAGGTGGAGGGATAGCAGAAGGCAAAGTACAAGGACGAGATGCCTTATCTCCACAGTTTATAGCAGAAAACCAAGCAAAGCAGATTTATCTGTTGTACAACTCCATTGCCATCCCAGGAGTTACTCTGGGGAGGTTCTTTGTGTTGTGTGCATACCCTGCACAGTGCTTCACTGGGAGAGTGAACCTGCAGTTCAGATGGGCTTAGAGCAGACGGAGAAGACTATGGGAAAAACAATTTAAAAACTCCTCCAGGCACCACAACCATGCTGGAATGAGGCGAGTGTTTATCCTTTGTGACACTGGCAGCAGAGGGGCACCAGAAAACGAGCTCTGAATGTAGTTCCAACTTGCTTTTGAAGGCTGCCTTCCTTCCAAGAGCACACAATGGGTGATGTTTAAGGAACTTGTGCCTTATTCAAACAAGCAGAAAATTGGCTCCAGGCTCTCTTACCTGGAGCTCTTGTGTTGCAAGTGTCATAAATAATTTAAAAAAAAAAAAAGACACTTTATTTGCTTTGGCTCATGCAATTGTTTTGCATGCACAGCAGCCCCATCTTGAGATTCTGTATCAAAAAAGACTCTGCTACCAAGCCCAGTTTGAGGTATGTCAAGATTAGCATTCTGTAGATTAGGCTCTTGGTTTTGATTATGTCTCAGCTCTGCTTCTTGAACAGCATTTGTTCTGCAGGTAGGAAGTTTGCTCTCTACTAGAAAGGGAAAAGTAGGTGGTCAGGAATCTGGAAGTTAGGCACAGTACAAACATGCTGACAGGAGAGAGTGCAGCAAAGTTGGGCAGCATTGGTGAGGTAGCAAAGAAGGACCTCTTTTATGCCAGTGGTGCGCAGAAACCCAGCTGGTGGCTGTGGTAAGTTGCAGGTTATAGAGGAAAGGAAGTGGTTGATGGTACAATGTAAACAGGCCATTTTCTTTAGGCTTAGTGCTGCAGGCAAGCTGCTACAGCAGAGCAGCAGTGCAGCACCGAAAGGGTTTGCTGCTCAGGCACTGACCACGCAAGCACTCTCATGGCGAGAAGAAAGCGGCTGTCACCGACTTTGCCGACTAGAGCGCTGTAGTCTCTCCTCACCAAACCTGCCAATAAAAGTAATCAGGTAAGAAGACAAATATCCCTGCCTGTGTCAGCACTCAAAGGGTTTTGAGGCAAATCTGCTTTTGTGCTTCTGACATTTAGGATTTCCTGCAGGTTGGAAGAACGGAGAGTAAAGGGACCAGTGTGCTTGGCTGCTTTAGCTCAGCCCGCAGGGATGTGCGTTGCAAGCTGTGGTTCGTGGTGCCCTTTTGAACTAAAGGGCAGGTTTACTCAACTCAGGAAACAAATGCAGAAGAGACAGCTGGCTCACTCCCCAAAACTGGTAGGTCCAGCTAAAAGCATGTGTGAGACTGGTTTGAGCAGCTACTTTCACCTTTTCTGATCACTGTAATAACTTCACTTGCATTAAGGTGACTGAAGACTCTCACGCCCAACGCACTATGCACCCACCTCTGTGGATGGCGTAAGCAGCCAGCAGACAAACGGACTTCCAGATACAACCAGAGCTTAATAAGGAGGGGAAAAAAACAGTTCTGCAAACTGGAACCCCTCTTATGGCTCGTACGTGGAAATGGAAGGTCACAGGGACAGGAGGACAGAAAGGGTACAAAGGGACAGAGGTGAGAAGTTGTGAGGTGTGCTGCACAGGTGGGGAGGATGACTCAATCGCTCCTTCCAAATCCCACTTACAAACGCAAACAGAGTGACAACACAAGGCACATGGAACCATTAACTTTACTGGAGAATCTGACGTGACAGAAGAGTAGCAGAACATTAACTGTATTTGAGGCATTACCCAGCTTACATACCGTGCGCTCTGCTCACCCGGGGCTGGCCAGCACAGCTCCCTCAGCCACCAGTGCTGGCCCAGCCTCGGCAGCACTTGTCAGTGGGGAGAGCCAAGCTTGAATGGCTTCCATCGAGCTGACAAAGCCGCTCCGGGGAAAGGACGAGCGCACCAATACGGTTTGCAGAGGGAGCCAGTGGGCTTGGCAGCAGCTTCACCTAGAAAAGCAGCTTTTCTCAGCTGTGCGGGCTGTTCTGTGCAGAGTATGGCACGAGTCTATGGTTGAGGATCTTTATTCACAGGACTAATCCTGTTCCTTCCCAGAAGGCGGGGGCCTCACTCAGGTACCTGCACAGTCCCCCTGCTCCTAGGTGCTGTGTCCCTTTGCTCCCACAGGTGACACAGCAGCTTCTAGTGGCCAGGTGCTCTAAGCTGGGACCCCACCTGCCTTTACTAAAGAACAAAAATCTTCCAGCTGAGCATGTTGCCAGGTGAAAGCCATTTTCAATGATTTTTCCTTGTTTTAGACAGATCTGCTCTGCCACACCCTCAGGAAACCTTTGCCCCTTTTATAGTGCTGTGCCCTGGAAAACTCAAAACAGGGATGAAAATGGCAGTTCTTGAGTGGCCCCAGTTCCCACACGGACCAAACTGCCTCTGTCCTCAAGCAGATCCAGTGATGTTGAAGCAAGAAAGAAAAGCCTATAGGGCTACTGCTCACATACCTGTAGTGGACAAGGGGAAAGCAGCTCACTGCAGCCTAAGATGTAGTTTTCTTCCCTTCTAAGTTGCAGAAAGGCTGAGATCGAGGTGCATTTTGTGGAATGGTGTTTCTGTATGATTTTTAGAAGAAATGCTGAAATATTACACAAAGCCTGCCCAAATTAATCTTTTTTACTTATACTATAACCCCTTAATTCTGGCTGGCCTGCTTTAGGAGCTGGTGCTTGAAATGCTCCAGCAGTTCGGGTGCAATCTTATCAGCGGTCAAGTTCTTGGCGTTCAAGATCCCTTCGTGGGCTTCCTGGAAGAGCTGCTTCCCCACCGCCTCTTCCACGTGCCTGCGCCACTCGGCCAACTTCGGCCTCTCCTCAAACAGGTCATAGCCAGCGCCTACAGGCTGCGGAGACAGAGCAAGAGAAGCCGGGAGTGAGTCAAATAGCACATTTGCCAGTGATGGGACCAGACTGAAGCAAAAATAGGCTTCTGGCTCAAGGCAGTGGGCGGTCGTCACATTAGGTGGAGTTCATCTGTTTCTTAGCTAGTAGGAAGCAAGTGCTGTCATCCAAAGCAGCTGCTGTCCCCTGGGACGTGCAGTGAAAAGAGCACTGCCAGGGCTAACCCAAGAACTGTCTAATGCAGAACACAGAGGTCCATGCACACCAACACATCTGTTTCAAATATCTGTACTTTCACTGCCTAGTTTGTAATTTATCTTTTTTTCTGAGGAATTTTGTTCATAGTTCTATAGAGAGAACTGTCTCAAAGTAGGTTGTTCCCTGGCAAACTCAATTGTGGTCAAAGTAAAAAAGGAACAAGATTTAATTCCACTAAGGAGTTAACTGCAGGGAGAAAGATCTGCCATTAAAGAGGTGGTGGTGCCTCAGCCACACGTTGGCCTGGCCTTTGCGCCAGCCAGCTGGCACATCCAGCAGCTCTGGGGTTGATGCTCACCTGCATGAGCTCCACCAGTGCTACAAGGTCTGCCAGGGAGATCTCACTGCCTGCGATAAAGGGCTTGTCCTGCAAGAACTTCTCCTCAAACTGCTTCAGGACGATGTTCAGCTCTTCAGTAACACTTCTCAGTTTCTCTGGAGGAAGTGGCTGGCCTGTGAGGACAGGCAGCATCACCTGGCAGGGAGAAGAAACAAGTTGCTTTTTACTTATCTCTCTCCAAACTTTATCCACACTCTCCCACTGCTGCCTTCTAAGGATCCCTCAAACAGCCATGCACAAGAACAACCGGTACTATTAGTCTCCTTTGGCAGATTAACATTAAAGTCAGTCATTAATTCCTGCCTGTCCTTGTCTCCTCCCTAGAAAGTCTGAAATTTCAACCACGAGTCTCCTCTCAAGGGAAGGCTGCATCATCTGCAAGCAACTGCATTTTGTTTTCCAACGGGAGGTTCGTTCTTTCCACAAAGCTGGGCAGAAGGCAGTGAGCTGCAGCTGGCGTTAGCTGCTCACCCGGGGCGGGTTTGCTCTGGAGCCCAGTGCACGCACTGAGCTGCAGCTGCAGCATGGAGTATTTGGGCCACTGCAGTTAGGCTCGGCTGAGCAGCCAAGTCAGTTCCAGATCTCGTTTTGTTCCTATCTGTCACTTGGCTTGTACATTTGATTAGAAAGGCCCTGCACACAGGAGGTACCTCCTGGGCCATTGCGCTCACAGCTCTTAGTTTTTGGTATATAATGGTCTTACCTTAGTTAAGAACAACTTGCTCCCCTTCCCACGAATGTTGACGTGCTGCCAGGACAGGTACTCATCAACCCGAGCCCTCTTCTGCAGGTCAGATGGGTACCAGTGATCAGGAGTCTTGAATTTCCGGGCCAGGTACAGGAGGATTGCAATGCTGCCCAGAGAACAAGGCAGACTGGTGAGCTGATCATCTGGGATTAAAGCACCTCATCCTTTCTTCTTCCCCCAAACTGTGCACTGCTGGACCAGCAGCAATACAGACCTGATCCCAGCCAGGCCCCAGTGCGGGACACGCAGCTGCCAGCTGGGCACAGCACATGAGAATTTTGTGCTGGCTAGACCGGCTGCTTGTGGGCAGCAATTATCTGATACATCAGCCCAGTGAGAGATGTGGCCTGCTGGTACACTTACCCCATCAACATTTTTGAGCAAATATGAGCCACAGAGTGAGTTTATAGCAAATCAGAGCTCTGTGTTGCCTGGCCATCCAGCAGCAGGTGCCTCATGTCAGATTTACTACGCTGACCTACAGCCTCCAGCTGAAGGCAGAGAGCAGGAGGACACGTGGACAGAGGTACTTAAGCTCAGAAACACTGCCTCCATGCAAGCTAGCTCTGAGCAGCAGCTCACAGATTTTTCCACAATCAATGCTGTTCAAGTTGCTTGCATGAGAAAGCTTCTCTTGAAACACAGGTTTATGTTACGTACAAGTGGAACAGATAGAAAGGACGCAAACAACTACCTGGGCTGGAGACTCAGTAGGGACCGCACAGTGCACTGGCAGAATCCGAGCATTAGGATGCAGGGGCCTGAGCTTATCTGAGCCTCACCTCTCTGCTAAGGTGAAAGAACCGTCCCTTAGCGCAGGCACCTTCATCAGGACGTTCACCTTCCGGAACTCTTCAGTCCTGTGCTGCCCTGAGGAGGAAAGTGAGAAGTTTTACTTGGCAGTGATGGTCAGGACCTGTCTGCAAACACCTGAGGAGTCTGTGGGAACCATCTGGCCACAAGTTCCTGGTTTTGATTGTATACAGTCTTGTTTAAGTTTATAAGCAATCAAGAAGTGCTGCAGGGTGAAGAGGGGGTTTGCTCTGTGATGTCAGCTTACTTGTTTATTGCCTGCATACTGGAACCACCTCTTGACAAAGGTCAGAATGGTTAAGAGTCCTTTCATACCAACAGTGCTTGTCAACTCAGGGCTCTTTCAGCTCCAAGTTTGTGCCTGGAGGTACCTGTCCTGTACAAACCCAGAGTGAACACTGAGTGCCCTGGAGGAAAGGGATCTCGGTATCAGAAGCATGAACAACAAAGACAGTGAAAAAGCAATTTTTTTTTTTTTTGCTGGAAGATAATGTGATTTATATTCAACTCTCTTTTTAGTCCTCAGATGAAAATAAATTTCTGTGATTCCATAGAAAACTATGAGCACTTCATTTCAGATCTACCAATCTCTCTGTGGGTTTTGCATATCCTTTATCTAAACAAATAAGGACTTGAGTTTGCTTTTGAGCTATCCCCTAAGGTCCCCGCAGGCAGAACGGACCCGACAGGAGAAGGTGCTTTGCTCATCTGAGGTCTCAGCGTGCTCCATTACATTTGAACCCAGTCCCAGAAGCCTTGTTTTATGTGACTCATTCGTGCCAGCCTTTTCCAGCCGCAGGCTTCAGTCACCCGTGTGTACCTCTGTATTCAAGCTTCTCCAGCGTCTAACCCTGTACCATGTCCTGCTGCATGAGTCACCTGAGAATCTCCGTGCCAGAGGGGATACTCTGGAATTGCTTTTAGTTTTCCCAAACTGCCAAACCTGACTTGTGACTATTCCCCTGTCACTTGGCTCACGGCCTGTCCCCCTCACCCCCTTTCAAAAAGGCCTTGGGATTTCCTGCCCACAGTGTGCAGATTCTAGGTCCTCAGGTGTCTCTGGACTGTGGTGTGATTTCTGTCCCTTCTCTCTCTTTCTACCCACTTCCTTGAGACCTGCTGGGGGCCCAAGAGTTTTTTTGGGGGGACACATTTAACCCACCAGCTCCAATCTGAGCACGTGCTCCCTCACCTGGTCCTCACATACCAGGCAGTGACAGGTACTAGAGCAGCGAGGGCACCCGCAGCGCGTCCCTGAGCGAGTGCTTCTCCGGGGGCCAGTCCCAGACGCGCCTGCCCAGCGGCCGGACACCGAGCGGGCCCAGCGACAGGCACCAGGAGCGCGTCCCACGGCACCGAGAGCGCACGCCGCGGGAACGGGACGCGCCTCTAGCATTCCCAGAGCCACACTACCCATCTTCGATCCACTGACCAAAAGCAACCGCTGATGCCACAGGGCACAGATCACTGGGAAACTGCGATTCAATTCACTTTCCTTCCTCTCCATTCCCCGATACCTGTATTTCAGTTGTTCCATTCTCCCCGATGCTCTCATGGCTTGCCTACCAGCCTCCTCTCCTTTGCACCAGTGTCTTACCACAACAATTTATTTATTGGGAAAGAAGGGGAAGGACACTAGATGAGCTTGCCCCCAGCTACAAACAATAGCAAAATTTTTTTCCTCTGAGAGAGGTCAGAGGAAAGCTGCAGTAAGGTGCAATCAATGCACAGCTAAGGTGTGCAGGGGAACACCCAGAGACTAAACCACAACACGCTTGAGGTTTGAGTCACAAGTTGGAGCCTCTTTTGTTCCTCTGTCAATTTCAGCTCCAGGAGCCTTCTCATCTTTCATTGTTTTTAAGCATTGCTTACCAAGGGTTTTAATGTTAAGTAATACATTACCTTAATTTCAAATCCAGCAGAGCTCTGTAAAAGGTTGAAGGATAACTTTTACCAGCTTCAGTTATAAAGAAGGAAGATACAAATCTTTGCGTATCCTTTGGTGAAAATACATGATACCTCTCAGGCAGGCTCCAACAAATTATCAGTTGATTTTAATACAAACTAAACCACCTTCCCTTCTTCATTTCTCAGTGTTCAGATCCCTGGTGGCTGCACCGCCTCGCTCTGCTGCCTCCACTGTCTTTTCAAGCCTGTCCCCAGCCCTCTCAAAACAACCTGACTGAACAGTGTGACTGAACACCCGAAGGGGTGGCCGGCTGTCCTGCCCTACCTGCACACAGGGAGACATCGGCAAGCTCTGTGCATGAAGTCCTGTCCCGAGGGGCTGTTAACCCCTGCTAAGAGGAGAAAAGCTGCTCTGCAGCAACCACGGCTGCTTACACAAAGTTTTCTAAGGAAGTTGAAGAGCAAGAACGTCACACCTCTGCTGTCCTCGCCCATACATGAATGTCCCACCTCTGCTGCTTGTTATTTCTCATCTAAATGGGGAATGGTATCAGACCTAGAACATCCTGAGTTTCTTCTCAAAAAGCAATCCTTTTTTTTTTGGAAACCCATTTTCTGCTGGGATGGGGCCGATTTCAAAGATACTGCGCACCTCTGCAGAGTTGTATTTGTTGCAGGGGAGCGCAGGCTGCTGCTTGAAAGTCAGGGTTTCTTTAGGAAATTAGGTTTTGTTTTTGTATTGACACCAGGAAGCTCCCGCAGCTGGAGGGCCACCCCACCCTCTTGCAGCATCTCGCACCGACGGGCTCGATTGAGTAACCGGGTCCCACCCGCGGTGCGGCTTTGCGTGGGGGCGGCTGGTAACGAGCAGCTTGTCCGGGAGCGGCGGGGGGGACCCCGGGGTGTCACCGGGGCGCCGTGCTAACCCAAGGGGCTGGAGCCGCCGCGGGGGGAGGAGAACCCCCCCTCAAACTCCCGCCACCCCCCCGGCCCCGCTCACCCTTCATCAGCTCCACGTGCTTGAACTCGAAGGGGATGTTGTTGCTCCGGGCGAAGATGTAGAGCGCCCGGCAGGGCTGCGAGAGCAGGTCCAGGTACAGCTCCAGCCCCATCCTCCTCCTCCTCCTCTCCTTCCTCCTCCCGGCCCGCCGGCCCCGCGCTCCCCGGCCGGGGCGGCTCCGGGCCCGCGCCCTCCCCGCGGGGGCGGAGCCGAGCGCAGCCGCCGCCGCCGCCGCCGCCCGGCCCGGGGGGGCCCCGGGGCTCCCGCCCTGCGCCTCAGCGGCGGCGGCCGGAGCCGGGAGCGGGGCGGCGGGGCCGGGGCAGCTCTGCAGGGCGCAGCTCCGACCCGGCTCTGCCACCGCCCGCTTGAGCTTGGGCTTAGTAACTGCCCTTAATCGCTTCCTGGCAAGGAAAAACCGAAGCTGGGCGGAGGGGGTGCAGGTGCGCCAGAGGCAGAGCCTTGTTTTGCTGGGGGCTCACAGCTCTCGCGTGAGGGGTTTCCATTCCTGCGGCTCTGACACCAGACCTGTGCGATGCAAAAAACAGCTTCAGAGAAAGCAGTCACGCACGTTACTTCACTGCTATAAAACAACCCCACATTGCTCCTCTCTTCACAATATGCAACCGCCCGTCCTGACCCCCATCCCTCCACAAATCCCAGCCCTTCATTTTGCTCCAATAATGTATTGTTAAGGGTGGTGTACGTTATTTTGTAAAACAAAATGAGCCAGAGCTGGGGCATTTCTTGCTGAAGGCCTTGGAGGGTAGTTGCAGGCTGCAGCTGTGTGGTAGCTCCAAGCTGTCTGCCAGGGGCAGCTAAAAATATCAGTGGCATGTGTCAAATAGCAATTTATGGCTTGCAAGAATACTGGCTCCCGTATTAGACATCACACATTTTAGTCTGCACTAACACCAACCTACCACTTAATAATATCTGCTATTACTACTGCTACTGAATGTTGGAAGGAAATAAGACAGGCAAGAAAAAGGCAAGAAAGGTACTAGACTTCAACACTATCTCCCTCACTGTAACCAGTAATCTTTATTAGAGGTTTGGTTTTTTTTTTTTTTTAAAGTATTTATTTAAAAGTTGCAGTCACTTCAGCCTAGAGCAGCTCTTCAAACACACTTCTTCTATAGGTAGGGTGTAGGTGTTTATGGATTTGCAGATACAGCTGCTTGTGCAGTGAGACAGAACCTTGAGCTGTCCCAGGTCAGAGGCAAGAAGGGCTCAGCCCTCGCCTCTGGAGACCAGCAGTTCCTTCAGGCCCATATTCAAGAGCTCTGCAACAGCTCTTCTCTTCACTGGTGGCAGTTTTAAGTATGCCAGTAGGCTACGATGCAAAGTGTTCTTCAAGAAAACTCTCTCAAAATTCATTTATTTTTTAAACCAGTAACTGAACTTTGTTTACAGTGTCCCTGAAAGGAGAATGAGGCCTGTCATAGCCAAAGGTAGGTACGATGAGGCTGAGGAGCCACCATTCAGCTCCATTCTGGGATCATGGCTCACAGTTGCTCTGCTGGGTAGTAGTCCATGACCTATCCCGCTCAGCAGCTCCAGCACCATAAGACACGACCCTCTCGGCTTCCGTTCATTCAGGCTCGTTTTTGTGCTCGTTCGTTCTGTTCAAAATTAAAGTTAAGAAGGTGACTGAAGAAGCCCCTGTCTCAAAGTCACACAGAAGGGAGTTCAGGGAGTAAGGGGATAACTTAATAATCCTTTCTGCCCCAGTTCTCAAACATTCCTAGTCTACAACTCAAAGATCACCATTTTTCAAGGACAGGTGTTTATCAGGAGTCCTTAATTTAGAGAGCAGGACACTTGCCCAAATCACAGAGCACAGAAAGTCTACTGTGGATCCCTAGTCTACCCATCTGGCAAGTGAAATGCTACCCTGCTTTTGTCTGAAAGCTCTCAACCTCCCCACTGGTGTATACATGAGGGCCTGCAGAAAATGCCTTCTGGGCTTGAACACCCAACTTCTAGTCAGCACAGCTGTAAATTACGGTCGTAAAACTCTGTAATGACAAAATGTTTAATCTCTGTATTTTGTTTGTCTCTGGGTAGCTGCCAAAATCCCAGCTCCAGAGGTAAAGAGAAAGGCAGAATAGAAAAAGAAACGCCACAAATCATAGAATCACTGAGGTTGTAAAAGACCCTGAAGATCATCAAGTCCAACTGTAAACCTAACATTGCCAAGTCCACCACTAAACCATGACCCTAAGTGCCATGTCTGTATGTCTTTTAAATAGCTCCAGGGATGCTGCCTACGCTTCTTTTAACAGAAAACCTCTTTCTTCCCTCCCCATCCTTTCTGAGTATTTCATAATGATGCACCCACAAATTTTGCCTTCACACTGAAATGGAAGTGTCTCAGTTGAAGGAAAGGATCATGGATGCTAATACTCGTGCTAGTCATGAGTTGCAATAAACTGTGTAAGTTGTAGTTAGCTTTTATTTTCTTCCCTGTTTCAATTACCTTGACTGTCTTCTCAAGCTTACAAAGAGCTTCCTCATATTGCTGCACCAATGGCTTTAATGAGTTGCCCTTCACTGGTTGCTTCTTTATGTCCTGGATGCCAGCATCCCTCAACATCCGCAGAAACCTACGTTCCTGCATAAGAAACCAGACACAGGAGATGAGACACCCCACTGCCTGTCAGCTAGAAAACAAGCACATTTTGGAACGCGGTGCCTAGTCAAAAAATAACTGAAGTTTCCAAGTACAAAGCTCAGCTGACTGGAAAAGGTGGGAAGTAGTATGAACGTTATCTTCCTTATGCCCCTGCATGGATTCCTATCAAATGAATCCCACACCAATGGCATACCTGAATTCTAAGGACCAAGCTGAAAGCAACACCCACTTCTCCTGCACGAGCTGTTCTTCCAACTCTGAAAACAGAAAAAGTAGCATCAGGTTGGTTTAGCCACAAAGTCACTGTCATTGTCAGCTCCATGAGTCTGATTCTGAAATTCTCCACATTTATGAAAGTCCAATTTTAAGTTTTTTGAGGTTAGCAAAGCAGGGGTGGCCATATTGTTCAAAGGATGAACATCTCCAGTGCTTGTTCACAGCTGCTGAGCCGCTGCAGTTTTTTGAACATTTAGAAACCCCAATACTTCATGCTGTCCAGGACAGTATGTCTAGCTCCTGTAAAATACGTTTTCTGTAATAGGGTGCTAGTTCTCTGTTTCAATACTGCATTAGTTTGGTGACGTTAGAAGAGGCTTAATTTTGATTAGAAAGCTATTTGCCTATTAAAGTAAAAAAAATCCAAAGCTAAAACCCCTTTTAAATGTATGTCACATCTGCTACACATTTCAAAGAAAACCAAACTCAGTCATCTTCCTTTTGTTCCTGGTTGTCTTACCGGTGAATATATGTCCTGATGAACTGCGGAGCATCATAGTTTATTACGTAATTCACTCCTTTAACGTCAATCCCTCGTGCAGTGGCATCTGTGCTGATTAACCTGGTTTAAAATGTATATATAGTAATTTTCAGGTAAAGTCTCTTGCACTACACACACAAGTGAAACACAAGTGAACTCTTGCTAATCTCTGTTCCAACGGGGCAGCCAGCCTCTGACCTCTGAGCCAATCAGCAGCATTAAGTCACTCCTTATTGTCACGGGCATTACTAGCTGTCTGCAGACCTCCAAGCATCACCGCAGGCTTGTCACTGAATGCAGACAGTGAGGTAAGAAATTCCAGTAGTCAGGGGGAAATTTAAACACCAGGTTTGTATAAAAAGAAAATCCAGAAAGTAAGTATTTACCACCTTCTCAGAGACATTCCACAGATGCAATCCCACATAGCTACCGAAATCACAAAGCAAATCAAACACACGGATAGAAGTAAATCTGTATGCCAGTCTGATCAGGGATTTCTTTGGCAGGAAGAACTAATACTATCTATAGTTCTAGCACCAACATCCATTTTTTTCCAAGTGCTAGACACCAAGCACACACGTTAAATTTAAGATTTTCAGAACTGTGTTTTGGGCAACTATATGAACAAGCAGTTACACTCACTGCTTTTTATAAAATAACACACAGAAATTCAAATTACAGCTAGGTTAGGTCAGGCCAAGTTACATGCAGGGTAAACAATCCAGGTCACAAGTCCAAGTCTTACAGCTATTCTGCAAGTTGGTTCCTGCACGCTCTGTTTTACAGAGGACCCCATTTAACTGTGTTCTTGGTTCTACCTAGCTTTTCACACTGGAAATAGCCTGTGTTGGAAGACATGCAGGAAACTTATTTAAGATGCTTACAGTTGTATTTTCCCTTGTTCAAATTCCTTCATGGTTCTCTGTCTCTCATTTGGAGGTAACCGAGAAGAAAATTCAGCCACAGTGACTCCACCAAAGGCTCGAACCAACAGGAACAATCTGTAGGTAAATGGGATAGAAACAGTCACTTCATTGCCTCTGTAATATTACTTGACAGATACCTACTGTAGCGATCCTGTTAATATAGTCACCTGTGAGAAGCTTCCCTGGAGTTGGTAAAGCACAACACGCGGGTAAATTTCATTGTCAGCATGAAATGCAAGAGGAGCAAAGGCTTGGAATTCAGGTCACAAGGCACATAACATTGCTGCAGTCAAGGGGGAGAAGTTCAGAGAGAATTACTTCTTGCCAAGGCTATCTTCTCTGAAACCCACTACCTGTCCATGACTTAGATAGGCTTGGATGTTTTACAGCTGACTAATAGCAGCAAAACCAGACCCCTAAATGCCACCCCCTTTAGAATAAGTCACAGTTATGGGCTGGAGGATACAACACAAGGTGGAGAGAGATCTGCATTGTTGTAATGTTCTTACTTCTCCACAGCAAGTAACAACATGTACTGCTTTCTTGTCTACAGGGTGACCTGTATCTACATGCCATGAAATGCATATTATACATACAGATAGTTGATAAGTGCTACTACATTATTATTACTTCATATCTCCACTCCCCATTGCTGGTAAACTTAATTCTGCATTAAGACAGTTTAATTAAAAAAAAAAAAATCCAGTCTTAACCAAATAAACATCAAGTAATGAGAAAACAAATGCACAAAGGCAGAGCTCTGGGTCATAAATACTCCCAAAGCCATTTTTGCCCAGTACCTCTGTAACACAAGGAACCATAGGGAAGACATATTTGTTTGTAAGGTAAAAACATAACTAGATACTCCAGAGTTAAACAAATCTTAAAGTATAATGTACTCAAAAGAATTAATGTCATACCGATAGCCCCTCGGGGAGTGTGTATTTCTTATTAGTACCCTGTTCAGTCTCTGTTCCATCTCCAAGCACTTTTTTCTCAGAATAGACAGATGTGAAGAGCCGAGGCTGGAATAAGTCCAGCTGCTGCAGTTTCTCTGGGTCCTGGGTCAGCGTGGCTGAAAACAACAGCTTCTGTAAGGGTATCTGAGGATAGCAGGAGCTGAAATAAATAGCACACAGAAACTGATCTTTGAGGATGGGGCAAAGGATTTCCTCCACAAGTGCCTTCAGATGATGTTATGAGGGGAGCAATTAACTCCTTTTGATGCTCTTTTCCTGAGGTTCTTTTCCATCCTTGTTTCACAGACAGAACTGATCAGCGCTCTCACCAACCGCACAACCCGCATCCGCTAACCCTGCACACATCCTCGCATCCTAGTTACCCGTGTCCTCATTCTAGTTGCTTCCTTCCTTGGTCGCTGACCTCAGTTCCTGACACATCTCTACCATGCTGTATGAAAAGAGCAGCTGCAGATAGATAATTCAAAGTTTTCCTTCAAATCCATTACTCAGCTTGCCAGAGGACATTACTATAGTCACTGAGCACACGAATCACAGACTTGCAGTATTTGCGCATTGTTTTGATGCTTCTTCAGTCTAGTCAGTGAAAGCTTGGAGAATACAATACACTTAGGCTTTGGTCTAAAAGACATCCTCTAGTACAAGCCTAGTATGTTCACTGTCTGCCTTTTCAAACTTTGGAAAAGAAGCTGCCTGCCTTTGGCAAACATTTCTCAGAGTAAACAAGCTTTGGAAGTGCCTGTGAAAAAGTACAGTGAAGCAGGGCAGTGACATCTAAGTGCTGGTGTCTGTGCTATCAGTTCAGAGAAATGCATTCTACAACTTACCTGGCTGCTGTTATAGGCCCTGGTTTGGTCCTCTGAAAAAGCATGCTGGAGCCAGAGTAATTTTCTACTTGGAACACAGCTTTGACAATTTGGTTCAGACAGTTCTGGTGCATGTCATCGATCATACGGTCAGCTTCATCTACGATCTGAATTCACAAGGATGAAAACCACTACTTGTTAAATGCTGTCTAGCACTAGGGAGCTTTTATTTCCCTTTTGTATCTACAAGTGAGCCAGAATGTAAGATAATGAAAGCTTCTAGTCAACAGAATTACTTTCTTTGCCCACCCTTCCTCAAATGAAGGCAAAAGTTTCTACCCCAAGACTGAATTTTGATTTTGTTTCAGTGGCTCAGTAGCCAGCCTGACACTCAAACTACACACAAGTTCATTTGCACGTAAATCCAATCTATGTCTCTGAGTAAGAGATAAAAACCTCCATATCCTAAATAAGATTCCAACTATGTCTCTGCATGGACCCCTGTATGATGGAAGCTACTACAGTCTGATAACTTACCCTGACCTTGACCAGTAAGGCTTTACTCTGAGTTTGTGTTTGTGCTAGGCTAAGAGAGAAGGGGAAGTGAGCGGATGCTTCGGTGTCACAAGTTGGAATAAACCATCTCATTTTAGGACTGCTGTCTGAGCAATCTGGAGTGTAGACCAGTCCCACAAAACGGTTCCAACAGAGACGTATTTATGTACCATGCAAGAAGAAAACAGGAATTACAGCTATAATGGACCTTGCACTAAGATGGGAGACCTGTGGAGTCGACTCACCAGGAAGCGAAGCTGTGTCAGGCTGAACCCCGGGGTCTGGCTAATGTGGTCTGTGAGCCGCCCTGGTGTAGCCACAATAATATCAGCCAGACTGCAGTAGCCTGTCACTCTGAAAGAACAAGCAGCCCATCAATAAGTTTCTCCTTACACCATAAAACATATAACAGAGATCCTTGGTCAGCAGAGCTTAAGATTTTCCTACTATTCACTTAACAGAGAAACAGTAAAATTCAAATATATACTTTACTTTGGAAAGCATGCAAAGGCAGTGCTGAACACTAAATCCTCATTTTAAACAAAAAATGTAATTCTTTATTGCTTTTAAAAAAAGCTTAGTTGCAGCAAAATCCCGTAACAATCATTTGTACCTGTGGGTATGAGGTAAATGTTTGCATACTACTCAGTTCATGAAGAACCCTCAAAATCTAGCAAAACATAACAATCATAAAAAAGGGGCGGCAGCAGGCACTTTGACAAAGACAGACCAACCAGTGTCTAGCATATAAACCTGTTATCCAAAATCACTGAACAATGGTGTGATGCAGTAGCCTATATTCTAACCTCCGCTTACTGAGTTTAAGTAGTTTACAATCTATATTAACCTTATCAAAAGACCTTTTAACCTACTTTTTCTTCACAAGCATCTCCTGTTCCTTTGCGAAAGATTTCTGGCCAGTAATCAAAACGACCTTCAGGCCTGTGCCATCAGTGTAAATGTTGAACACTTTACTCACCTGCAAAGAGATGGGCTTTGTTAGCCACAACAAAATCAATTAAAGTAATACTTTCCATTATGCCAACAACATCAAACCCACTGACAGATCTTCAATCTGCTTCACAGAACAGCTCAGCAAAGCACTGACTTTCCCTTGGCCCAGCTCCGCTCAGAGAGGTGAAGAGCCACATACCTGTTGCGCCAGTTCTTTGGTGGGCAGAACGACCAGAGCTCGTACATGGCAAACTACTCGATCTAGCAGAACCTGCCAAACAAAGGCCAAATGAGTCTGAAAGCAGTGGGAAGAGAAGGGGGTTCTTGTATCTAATCTAGTGAGAAGAGATGCACTTAATACATCCTCATGGAGTTTTATGTTTCCATTTTACTCCCCTCCACCCTCCCAACTCCTCATGCTATGCTTGTTGTCTGAGGAAAGGAGTGAGACTTAAATGAAGGGAGCTTGTACAGCTCCCTCAGACAACTCTGAGCTAAAAATCTGCTGCTTTGCATCCACAAATTTCTTGGCTTTCTGACCTACTTTTGTTTGAACAAAAGCAACCCCGGCATTTTCCCTACAGATATTTCACCGGGGGTAAACTCACCTGTACTATGGGTATGACAAAAGCCAGGGTTTTACCACTGCCAGTAGGTGCAGAGACACAGATGTCTTTGGGGCGGTATCCTCCCTGTGCCATCAAATACCCATTGGATGCACTCTGTAGAATAGCAGGAATCACCTGTGCCTGAACTGAACAGAAATGGAAACAAACATTAACTACAGAGTTAGCTGGACTAAAACCCCTGTATCCAGAAGAGCAGCTATATACAATGAATCTGTTTCCACATCTGTGCTGTTGTTGCTATAGACACGAGAAAGGAAGAAATCAAAACCAGTTGTTAATAGAGATGCTAGCTGGTTTCACCTGGTTCTTATTCACTTATGAATGCATCCTTAGCACTGAATACAGAGATTTCCCTCTCCAAGAATTCAGCTATTTCTAGTGCTCAGCCAGGATGTTACTGTGTTAAATACTGTTTTCAACTCACATCTGTTTTCTTGTTTTCATGTTAGGATGGCACTGACCAGATTTAAAATCTATGAATATTTGTCTGTAAGCATCCTTTCTCTGAAATACAAACTACTCTTATATAAACATAGAATATGCAACACAGCAATGAAACCTTACCTGCCAAGGAGCAAAATGAACAACTCCTATAGGCTTTGGAGTCTTTCAAGTTTGCTGCAGGACTGTACAGAAGGTCTGAAGCAAACAGTCCTATACAGACACAGCTCTGGCTGTCATCCAGGAACTTTCTCCTCTCCTTGCCCCATGATGAGCTCTGACAAACTGGCCAACTTTGGCTTATCTATGAAGTTTAGCAGCCAGGGGATCTAGGTCCTTGACAAGGCCATACACAGTGATGCATGACTTTGGTGGACACCATGTCGAGCATGACACTGCTTGATTCATCTACTACCAAGTGCCATAAACTGGACTTGATTCATGAGAAAACACAAGAAATTGCTGTCAGCAACCTGTTAGGATCTCCCAGAACAAAATAAGCTATACATCACATTTTAATGTAAATGCTAACTACATACTTAAAAAGAGAGGACACATGCTGGCTTTCCAATGTAACCTTGATGATTAGCAGCAGGGATGGAGGAAGGTAAGGAACTAAAGCACCATCCTGTCATAAGGACGGAAAATGGGAGGACACAAGTAAGCCCTCCCTCTTTTGGCAGCTGTGAGCTATTACTTCAAGCCATCATATTTTATGGAGCTACATTTATCACTAGAGAACACACTTCAATTACTCAGCCTAGGTAAAGCTTTAGATATGAAGGGTTACAACCAGCACAATCACTTCGATGTATTAAACTTTTTTTTGTTCTATATTTTACTTCACTGACTACATAAAATATACAGTGATAGATGGCAGAAACTACATAAATCCGTTTAGAAAGAAAACTAAAGCACTATCAAGGTACCTGGAAAAAAGGACTCTATCCCATTCATTTGCAGCTTTTTCAACAGCCGGGGGTGAATTCCTGGGACATCTCCGATTGGAACTAGATTATCTTTGATACGTTTTTGAACTAGTTTGGGTTGAGCAAGCCACTGTGGTAAGAAAGGCTGAACCTAATGGGGGGGAAAGGAGAATAACAAAGCATTTCTGACATCAGACAGACAACACTATACATAAAATATGCTGGTAAGATGCATATTCTTTCCTGAACACCATCAAAATTTAGTCAATATAGTTACCTTCTGCACTGGCTTTCTGTCATAGTCTCCAAGAACCACCAAACTGGAGGGTGGAGGATTTGTCGCTTCCTCCAAGGTTGTTAAGGAGACCTCCCCCTTTAGGCTTTGATTTCCTTCAGCTCTTTCACTGTTAGGTCCCTCTGTTTCCTCATCCTCCTTTTTCCTTTTAGAAGACTTATCTTTCAGGTCGTTTCTGTTTTCCTGTTGTTTGATGTATTCTTCAGAATCTATAATTTGGGTAACAGGAATCCAAAACTACAGGTCAGAACGTGTTACAGAAAAGGGATGCATAGAACATTTTACAATGACAGACTTAAACAACAACTTGCAATCTCCTCCTTCTTCCTAGATCCAAGTGCAAAAGCCAAACATTTCTTCGTTGGTATGGAGGCAACTTAAGACTGAGGTGACATGCATCCCTCCTTCCTTTACACTAAACTGATCCTCAGGGTTTGTGCTTTCTCCTCAGTTTGGACTTTCTCCTAAAAAAAGGAACTACTTTGGGAACATACTAAGCAGAGGAAAATAGAATTTATCATCAGGTAAATTCGGCAAGTTACTCAAAGGGTAACTTGTGTTCTCTGTTTAGAACTGTTGACCGCAATGAACCGAAACCCTATGGCTTCTGTTTATTGTTACCTGCTTCAGTCCTCTCTTGCTGCACTTTTGATTTTCTTCTATTTTCTTTCTTCTTCTTCGATGGAGTGCTGCCATCTGCTGCCTCCTCAGTGTCTGCCCTTTCTTCGGAAGCACTGCGAGGCTGCTGTTTCTCCCTTAGCCTCTTCTGTCCTTGCGCACAGCCCTGCTCTCCGCTCTCCCTCTGTCTCTTTCCCCTTCCTTCCCCGGGTTCAGCCCCGGGGCTCAGCCCCGCGCCGGCTCCCTCGGGCCGCTCGCCTTCCCCTCCCCCGGGCCGCGCCTCCCGCTGCTTCTTCAGCTGCCGAGCCTTTGCCTGCTGCCGCAGCCGCTCCAGCAGCACCCGAGCCCGGTCCTCCGCCTCGGCCCCTTCCTCCTCCTCGCCGTACCTGAAACGGCCCAGACAAAACCCTCACCCACAAGCCCTTCCCCCCTCCCTGCGCCGAGTCCCTGCCCCGGGGGGACGCCGGGGCGCAGCTCCCGTGGCCAGCCCGAGCCGGAGCCTGGCCGGGCGGTGAGGCCGGTCTCGGGGCGAGGCCGAGGCCGGGCCCGGCGGTACCTGTTGATGCAGAAGAGCGCCATAGCCGCGCCGCGCCTCGCCTCGCCTCGCCGCCCCGGGCGCGCGGAGATGACGTCAGCGGAGCGAGCGGCGGAAGGCTCCAGAAGGCGCGGGGGCGGGCGCGCGCCGCCTGGGGGGCGGGGGCGGGCGGTGCCGCGCGCACTCTGAGGGGAAGGGCGGGAAGGGAGGACGCGGAGTGTGTGTGTGTGTGTCGGGGGGGTAAGTACCTCAGCCGCCGTCCCCCCAGCCCCGGGACACGGCCGAGCAGAACACCCCCCTGGGGACAGGCCGGCAGCCAGCACGGAGGCTCCACCCCAGCTCCCACAGCGCTGAGGGCCACCCCGCCTGCCCGCCGGCAGCCAGCACCCGCAACGTGGATAGCAGCGTTTCACCTCGGTGGGCAAAAGCACTCCTTCCTCGCTTGCTTGGCCCCACATGGCTGGCACACTGGTAAGAGGAAAGCTTCCCTGAAACTGCAGGCACAGGGCTGGCCCAGGGACTGCTTCTGATGTGGCAACAGAGTGGGCACAGGAAAAAAAAAAAAAAAAAAAAAGAAACAACAAACCCACCAGACCAAACTCAGAGCAACAAGAAACATTGAAGGCACCTACAGCCTCTGGAGCCCAGCAAAAAAAAAAAAAAAAAAAGAAATCACACTGGAGTGCTGTCAGGTACCTGCCACTCAGTCCAACTGTACTGTGAAATACCATGTCTGAGAAATAGAAACAAACCCAAACCGTTCTTTTTGTCTGCTTTAGCAACTGAGTGAAACAGTTATGTTGCTGACTGCCCAACTCCATCCCCAACCTGCCAAAGCCCACACCAGACAGCTTACTTCTAAATCTTTATTTGTTTTCTGCACAGAGAAAACAGAGGAATGTTGAAGCAGCAATATTTAAACACACTAGCAAGGAGCCATCAATCTGTGAGAGTGCACAAAATGCAACACAAGGCCATTTGTGCAGCGGTCTCTGCTAAGGGGCAGGATTAGGGTAGGTCCAGGAGCAGCCTCTTCAGGCAGACGGCAGAGCTCTACGCAAAGGTGGAGCCATTCCAGCCCACATTGGCAGCATTCATGTCAAAGTAGTTGATGTACACCCTGAAGAAGAGGCACATGAAGACACAAACAATGACCTTATTAAATCATTTATACAAGTAATGATGGAGACAGGACAGGGGACAGTGTTTCCTGTTCCTCTAGCTAACTTCTCTGGTACAGCCTCCAAACAGTTCCTTAAAGTCCCTACTTTTTTTTTTCCTTTTAAATTTTTTTTTTTCCTTTTAAAAATGCAACTCTTCTTCAGTCATGGACTGTCCAGACACCAGACAGATTTTGGCAGCAGCCTGTCAGAATTTCTAGGAGATCAAAACCTTTTGTTTCCGAGCGCTGCAGTCCTTCACACGTGTCAAATACAGGTGGCTTCACGAGAGCCAAGCAAGCGCTCTGGGCCAGCTCTGCACTTTGTCTCTTCCAACCCCAGCACATCAGCACCAGCAGGTTCTTCCCATCCTTCACTGCTGCACAGACACTCCCGAGGCTCCGCAGCCTGCGAAGGATCTGCTCACAGCCTGATGGTTTCTACTTTGTCTTTAAGCTCCAGCCTGTTACTGCTTTCAGCCTCCCATCACCAGAGGACACCACACCTCAGCGGCAAAAAAGACTGTACAGCTTGTTAGTCCCCTGGGATTTTTTCCCTACTCTGAAAGCCATTTAACAGTGGACTCTCAAGGTGAAGATGTAGCCATCAAACTCTTAACTGGACATGAAAACACTGCAAATGGTCACTTGATATTTTCTCAAATACATGGACTTATTCCTGCCTTTTTGTATTTGTAAAGAAACTTTTAAAAGCAGTTTCAGAAAGCCAGATAAATAAGGTTAAAATCATGTCCCAGCCTTACCTGTCTGCAGATACATGCAAATGCTTAGAGATCAGATCACACAGGAGCTTGGTGTAAGTCTTGTTCTGCTGCCCTCCGATCTTGCCGATGCTGTACAGGCTGCAGAGCGCGCAGGGATCGGTGGAGCCCCCGAAGGACATCATCTGATCGGGTATGATGTGCACAGCTATGTACTGCGGTAAGAGAACAAACCGTTACAGTGTATCTTGCCTTCCCTCTCCTGACGCAAACTTGCTCTGGGTACCGACTTCAAATGGGGCAGTGGCGTGCTGTATCACGGCCGGTGCTGCCCTCTGCGCCCTTCCTGGGCTCTGGGAAGCACCGACGGGCCCGGGGGGGTTGCAGCCCACGTGGGTGGCATGGCTGTGCATGCCACGGGGATGCCCCCGAGCTGGCACTCACTTTTAGGAACACAAGTCGTATTTGTGCAAAGCCGCAGGTGAGACAGGCACCCCTGCCTGCCACAGCGCTGCTGCTGTGTGGAGCAAAGCACACGCGGCTGGGGATAAAGGCCTTAATTTAAAACCGTATTTGCACACTGGAGTCCACACCCTGAAATCACTGACTGAGCCACCGGGCTAGTCTGCAATTTGGCCTTACCGGGCTTTGACTTCCGAGGCTGCAACGGTGTGGCCCAGGAGGGGGTGTATCTGATCGCGGGATAACCGGGAGCAGCTCGGGGCGGGGGGCAGGCAGCCCGCAGGAGAGCTCGGTACCGGTTACTTCGCTCTGCAAGAGCTGGCCCGGCAGATACCAACCCCTTCCACTAAACGTGCCACTGGCTCAGTTCCGTGTCTCAAAACCCGACTCCCCGGCACAAGCACAGCCACATCTCCGTACACGGAGCTTCCCCCGGAGGTCAGGCCGATGCTGCGGGCGGCCAGGCCGATGGCCCAGCGCCGGGCCGCAGCGCAGACGGAGGCAGCGGGAGGCCTGCCGAGGCCGGTGGCGCAGACACACGGGAAAAAATCTTTCCCCTGGAGCCGCGGGGCCCGCAGTCCCGCTGTGCCCGCAGCCCCTCCGCCCATCCCCGCTTCGCCCCGCCGGGGTCTCCCCGCGGCGCCGGGCCCGCCGACCCTCCGCCGGGCGCCGCACACGTGCCCGCCCCGCTCCCGCCGGGCCGCGGCCCTCCGCCTCCGGCAGCGCCGGCCTCACCTGCGCGGGCTTGCCGGTGGCCTTGGCCAGCTGCTGGGTGAGATCGCCCAGCAGGCTGTCGGGCACGGCGTCCTTGCAGACGTTGGTCTGGATGGCGAACATGGGCATGGTGGCGGCGGCGAAGGGCGGCGGGGCCGGCGGCGGGAGCGGCGCTGCTCGAGCGGTGGCCGAGGTGGAGTGGAGCGGGGCGAGGGAAGCGGCGGCGCTTTTAGTGCGCGCGGGGCCGCCCCAGCCTTAAAGGGGCCGCGCCGGGCTTAAAGGGATAGCGCCCTGCGGGCAGGGGCAGGGAGCGGGAGGGTGGGGGGCAGGCTGCCTCCCCACGCTGCTGCCCTCGCTGCGACTTACGGCTGCCCTCCCGCGGTAGCGTCCCGGACAGAACTCTTCCCGACCTCCCCTCCCCACTCCCTTCCGCCGTTCTGCGTTTGCTTCGTTACTACCGCTGTGAGGTTTTTGAGGAGGTGTTGTAGGCCCCTCCCTGGAACCAAGTCCTGCCGCGCTGGGCAGTTCATACAGAACCCGCTGTCAGCGCGTGTGGTGCTACCGCCGTAGCACTCCCGCTGGCTTTTGCAGGATCAGGGCCAAAAAGGGCTGGAGGCCCCTGCCTGGCAGTTGCAAAAAGGGGTACTAACTCTGGATCCGAATTTGTATGTTTTTTTTTTTTTTTTTTTAACTGTGTGTGTAGCTTTAACACAATGTAAACAGAAACGTTGGACTTGCTGGCATGTTACTTATTCTCTAACATTTTTCAGCCGAAGTGATCTATTCTCCGCATCCTCATTTTCATATTTTTCTACCGGAAAAAGGCAGAAGTGGTTTTTTTTTTTTTTATTGCTTAGAAATGACATGGTGCGTGTCCAGAGGCGAGAGGCAACCTGAGATGAGCCCCACGCTGGGCTGTGTGATGCGATGCACGTAGGCTGCAGAGGGCATGACTCCCCACCCTGCCTCGGTGTGAAATGACTCATGGGAAGGCTGAGGAGAATCGGCCCCTGAGCCCTCTCCACACACACATTTTACATGTCGAAATCAAGCATGTGTTGATTTTTTAAAAAGTCCCAGCACTGCTGCTGCTAGAAAGCTTGACCAAATGGCCTGGGTTTGAGTGAGTGGTGGGGTTTTTGGCAGCAGGGGAGGGAGCTACAGCATTGGCCATGACACCACACATACATGTTACACATGTGAACACACACAGCCCTGAAGGAGAATAAGGGATGGTTTTGTATGGGAGTGCTTTGGAGTGGCACAGGCTATTATGCTGAGAACTGGCAGGACTGGAGCATTTATTTTTTAATTGATTAACAGTGCTATTAAGAACTAATACCAGCTCCCCACCACTGTGTAGTGCCACATATTCCTTCCACCTTCCTGGCTCCCAGAGTGGTTGTGTGGAAGTGGGGTGAGAATTCTGGCACCACCGCTGTGATTGTTCTGTGGCCTGTCAGGCCCAAAGTGGCAAACCCTGGCCATGCTGCCATGCAATGGAGGGACGTCCATAATTTCATTCTCCTTTGGCTCCTTGACTAAGGAAAAAGCAGTGCATACATTTTCGTAACATCTAAAGATGCATTTTTAGAAGTTAAACAAATATCAGTGTACTTGTGCACACCCCTCCCTCAAGTGGTTGTTCCACACATGCATTCATAATGCATTTCTGGATGAACTGCATCTGCTTTAAAACATAATTGCCTGTAATTAAAATAATAACAATGGAGAACTGTGTCTAGGAGCAAAAAACAGAAAGGTAAAATGTTTCACAGAAATACACAAAGGAGCATTCTAATGATGTGCCAGAGACAGAGACAAAAAAAAAAAAGCTTTTATATTTCCTATTAAAGACCATGGGGATTGCTAGCAAGCAGAGGTGGTCTTAATTGTAGTTGTGCCACAAGGTACCTTAGGAACACATATTTCAGGGTTTGGATGCTCTGAGAAAAACTCTGAAAGCATCTAGCATAGAATGGCCTCAGAAGATATGTGAGGTAGGCTGAAGCCTTTCCTGGAGGCTTACTGGAATTAGCAGGGCTGAGGCATTCATGGGTTGCAGTTGTAACACCCAGCTGCATCATAGCCAAAACTTAGCATAGAGCAACTGGATGAGGGAGGAAGAGCAGGGAGAACATCAGAGACTGGTGGTGCTGTGACTCCCAGAAGAGGCAGAGGCAGTGCTCTTTGAGCAGTTAGCTTGATGAAGGCGGCAGACTGATTTCTGGAAAAGGGAACTGCCTCCCCATGGAAAGCCTTGCTGTGTTTAGGGGCTTTGTAGCTATTCTCCACAAGCAATTCTGCCAAAAGACTACCTACCTCATGCCATGTCTTCCTTCCTTGGGCAGTTCTGCAAAGCACTAAGTGGAATGAAAAACATTTAATAAAATATACTGCATTTAGATGCTAAGTAGCACATTGCTTCATTGGCTATGCTGCCTTGATTCACCCAAGCAGCTTTCATTTGTTATCTCAACAAAGCATTTTTGCAGATTGAGGCACAAGCTTGTACTTGAAGACTATGGCTGCAAAGCAAAGCTATGATAGGGACAAAATGGGATGTTGACAACAGAGCTCAGAACAGAAGCATGTTTGGTTTGTTCTTCCAGAATAATTTAGTCACAATACACCTAATTTCAGAGATGCAGGAAACAGGTCTGTACTCAATCTTTTTATTTTACTTCAAAAGCAAATGCTCTTATTTAACCCAGAGCTTGAATAATAAATATTTATATGGAAATCTTCCTTTTTTAAGTAATTCATTACTTTGGCCTCTGGGAACGGCTCACTGTGCCTCTGCCTCATTTTGAGCCGTGCTCTAATCTTCACTGTCACAGCAAATTGTTCAATGGATGAAAAGGGGAAGGGCAGAACCATGAACAGTGGGTTTTTCCACTTATTCCCTCTGCCTGTCTTAAGGCCTGGGAGACCCTTTCAGCTCAAATTTTTCTGTTAAGTGGCTCGAAGCACATGTAGTGCTCAGATCTGAGGAGGACCTGGACTGCAATCCATCCCTTTTATTTAAAAGGCAATCATGTCTTTCCTCACTTTGAAGGGAGAGCTGTATGCCACATTGATAGCCACATCTGTTGACTTACATTTAAGTGTATTTTGAAATCAGGTCAGGACAGCTGTATTTAAATTTGGACAGGCTGTCCAGCATGAACAGGGCAAAGGCATAACCAAATGGAGTGTTCATCTTCACACAAAAGACTAAATTCTTTTTTAAAAAAGAAAAGCTTGTTAAGGATAACTTGAGAAATCACCTTCCATCTCAACCACAGGCCTTTCCAGAATAACAAGACAGTGGCAATCACAAGACTCCTGTTGGATTTTTACTTTTATTTAAGCAGCAGAGGTGGTGTTAAACAGCAGCAGGTAGCAGCAACTAAGGAACCACTGCCCTTCGCATTTGTGCCAGATACTGGTAACAGGACTAGAATGACAGTGCTAAAATCCCAGGGTGAGGGTTCAGGGATAAGCTGTTACCACCCAAGGGCACCTCAAGCAAAGGTGGTGGTGTTGCAGCCCACATTGTCAGCACTGATGTCAAAGAAGCTGACATAGATTCTGAAAGGGAAGACACTGTTAGCTGCTGTGAGCAGGGCGCTGCAGGCTGGCCAAGGTGTTCTGGCAACAGGACACACAGCCACACTGTAGACTGTCCCCCGGGGCTTTACACTTCTCAGGACCGCAATGCATCTCAACAAGTTACACATTTCTCTTTGCAAACGCTGGCAGGTATGTTTGAGTGTTGTGTTGCATATTCCATGTCCCCATCCACCCTTTTAATGCCTTGCCTATTTACATTCTGGAGTTCCTTGTATTTTTTTTCTTCTTGTTTTAAGAAGATGTGAGGATGCTGGGTTTTATTTACAGTAATTTCTGGAGCAGATTAATGTACTTTCAGGAAAAGGACTAGAAATGCTTTTATGTAAGTGGAAGTTTTTGTAATAAACCTCCACTTGTACCTCACAGGTAGTAGGGAAATGTTAATACACTTTACTCAAATTATCAATTTAGTATCGCCAGGTTATTGTGTCTGTACCTGGGCTTTTGCAGATGAGATCTGCAGGTACATGCAGTGCTTGTACCTCCATCATTTTAACTACGTTATTTTACAGCTTCTGGGCATTGGCACTGCAGCTTATGCAATTGCTCCTTTCCTCTTTTTAATTGGAGAGTTGCTCTATTGACTTGGCATTTAGCCTCTTCAAGCAGAATGTTAATAGAAGAACACCAAAGGACAAGTCTAAGATTAATAGTTTTAACAATCTGTGGAAAGTCATGTCAGACAAGTTGCTCTATGAGCTCACCTGTCAGAAGGTATTTTCAGCTGTTTGTTCAGGAGTAGACCTTATTCTCCTGCTCTCCTATCTTGCCAATGCTATAGAGCAAGCATATAGCACAAGGGTCTGTGGAGCCACCAAAGAATGTGAGCTGATCGGGAGATCTGTATTGCTAGATACTATAGAAAGAAGAATATTCTTTTCCTTTGCCATCTTAGGAAAATTTTATAAAATCCAAGAAGGCATTTGTGTGCCTAAACTGCAGTGAAAATAGGTGCATGCCCATCAGTTATATTTTTGAACTTCTGCATGTTCTTCATTGCACTTCCAGACTTCCTAAATAATTTCCTGCAAGTCACAAAGATGAGAAGGTGGAATACCAATCCCATGGCATACCATTTGGGAACAGGCACTGCCATCACAATTCTTCCATCTGTTACAGAATGGCAGTATGCTTAACTAAAAGTACTAGCAGCACATGGAATAAATAAATAAATAAATAAATATTTTTTTTTAAAAAGCAGTCCTAGGCACTTAGATGCCTTTTACCACCTACTAAAATGCAAATAATTTCATTATTTTCCTTAAGTTACCCCGTGGCAAAGATCTTTCCCCGCCTGCTGTCTTGCTGCATTCAACCACAGTGTGCCCAGTTACATACTGAAAAAGGGGTTCTGGATGCTCAGCCCAGGTACACTTTTGAGAAGAGGACCCTGCAGTAACATCTTCACTGACTTTGAATTTGGGGTAGAAAGTTCAGGTGCTCCAAGAGCTCAGTGACCTGCAATACATCCAGAACCTGCTTGGAGCCACTGGACTCTCCCTGCCCATGCAGGAAGGCTGGGCGTGAGTGGGGGTGTGCAACTGCATTGCTGCTGCCCTGTGTTCCAGAGAGATTTTGCACCTCAGTGGCTCCTGCTGCAGTCTTCCCTGCTGAGGTAAACGTGAACTGACACAGCAGAGGTCTAAATCAACAACCCCCTCATTAAACAAAATACAGCCTAATCCTACTTTTGTTCATGGTAGCAGGAAAAAAAGGAAGAAAGTATCTATGTTAATATTAATGACCAGCCTGCAATTTTCCCTGTTGTTAATACACAGTGTCAGATCCACACATG